GTAATCGCTTGAACCCGGGAGGTGGAGATTGCAGTGAGCAGAGATGGCACCACTGCATTCCAGCCCAGTGACAAAATGAGACTCCATCACAAAAAAAGAAAAAAAAAAAGTCTTACAGTCCTTAACCAGTTCAGTTTCTCTGCAGTGACTATAAGCTCTGGTACAAAATGTTTGTGAAATCAATCAGAAAAGATGTCCTTGGTGTCCCATGCCTTTTTGTGAGCAGAATAATGGACTGGCAAAAAAAGAATTCACTCCTTGAAAAAAAGAGAGGACAAACTTTTGCCTATCACAGCAAGTTTACACTTAGGACGTGTGCTTGCAACATTAGCACATCCCAGCCCAGCTATTCTGTCCATGGCATGTTTAATTCCTAGAGAGGCTGTCTCATCTGCCACAGTCAGTGTCTTTCTGGGACAATGATGCCAAAATAGTGATGTTTCTTCAGCATTATAGACTTCTTCCGGCATCCAATTTTCATCAACGATGATCTTGGCAAACTCGTTAATGACTTTTCCCACAGCTTTCTGATCAGCAGATGCTTTATCACCACAAATCCTTAAACATTTAATGCTGTGTCTTTTCTTAAATTTCTTCAATCAGCCTGTCGAATAGTCACAGTTCCCTTCAATTTTCAATTCATCGTCATAGATCTCTGCTTGTTTCATGATGAGTATACCATTAACTGGCATGTGGTCACTGTGATGCTGATGGATCCACTCTTTCAATACACAATTGAGATCTTCGTATTTTGCATCATGCAGTGTTTTTCTATTTTTCATTAACTTGTGTTCATCACTTTTTTTTTTTTTGAGACAAATTCTCACTCTGTTGACCAACCTGGAGTTCAGTGGTGTCATCTCAGCTCACTGCAACCTCCACCTCCTGGGTTTAAGCAATTCTGACTCAGCCTCCTGGGTAGCTGGGACTAAAGGCACAGCTAATTTTTTGTTAATTTTTATTAGAGATGGTATTTCACTATGTTGGCCAGGCTGGTCTTGAATTCCTGACCTCATGATCTGACTGCCTTGGCCTCCCAAAGTGCTGGGATTACAGGCGTGAGTCACCACGCCCGGCCATGTTCATCGCTTTTAGCATAGATCTTCAACAGTTTATTTTCTGTTTCTTCAGATTATACACGGCAGTCATTCTAACTCTGCACTTTTCTGTAAGACATTTCACACCTACACCATCGTCCAGTTTCCCTAACAGCTTGACTCTCTGTTGAATAAACATATTAAATGCTTCCTCTTTTTCTTATCACTGATACCGATAGGATTAACTCCAGGCTTTTTTGATATTTCTTTTCTTTTTCTTTTTTGAGACAGAGTCTTGCACTGTCACCCAGGCTAGAGTACAGTGGTGTGATCTCAACCCACTGCAACCTCCACCTCCCAGGTTCAAGCGATTCTCCTACCTTAGTCTCCCGAGTAGCTGGGAATACAGGTGCTGGCCAACATGTCCAGCTAAATTTTTGTATTTTTAGTAGAGATAGGGTTTCACTATGTTGGCCAGGCTGGTCTCAAACTCCTGACCTTGTGATTCACCTGCCTCAGTCTCCCAAAGTGCTGGAATTACAGTGTGAGCCACTGCACTGGGCCTGATATTTCTTTAACCAACAATATCTTCACACCACAGAGCAAAATAAATAAATAAATAAAACAAAAACAAAAAAACAACAAAAAAAGCAAACCCACAGTGAATAATGCATGTAGATAAAGACCCCATCTGGGCATTGTGGGGAACTTGCGCTTGGTGAATCCAGCCTGCGCACATGCCATTTTATTACCTTTGTGGGGCGTGCTTGCATGGGGGCATGCCCTGAAAAGATATGTAGCAGCAGAAAGGGGCTTGGAGGGTCTTTTTCCCCTTGGGGATGCTAGTAAACTGTGTAGTATGCCTGCATTTTGATGGTGACCTATCACATGTGATCAGGTGTGGAATTTTCCAATTGAGGTATTACTTGTCAGAACTCAAAAAGTTTTTGATTTTGGAGCATTTCAGGTTTTGGATTTTTGGATTAGGGATGCTCAATGCTCAATCTGTAATACATTTTTATCTTAATTAAAAAAACAGATAATGATTTTGTTAGGGAATAATAATTCTTCAAATAAATTCAAGAGAAATGTAATCCATTTCACCTACCTTAACACAGAGGCACCAGTTTGCCTTCTAAGGTTATTGATCTGAAGTCTCTTAATGGTGGGGATAATCTCCCACATTTTCTGTCCATCATAGTGTCTGGACTAGTGTTCAACACCAATAGGGTAGTCACTGGGCATTTATTTATTTATTTATTGGGATAGAGTCTCGCTCTGTCACCAGGTACCAGGCTGGAGTGCAGTGGTGCAATCTCAGCTCACTGCAACCTCCGCCTCCCAGGTTCAAGCAATTCTCCTGCCTCAGCCTCCCGGGTGGCTGGGACTACAGGTACATGCCACCATATCCAGCTAACTTTTTTGTATTTTTAGTAGAGACAGGGTTTCACCAGCTTCCACTGGGCATTTAAATTCAAATGTAAATTCATTAAAGTGAAATGAAAAATTTACTTCTCATTACACACTCTCTACCTTCCACACACTATATAGCCACAGTTGGCCACCATATTAGACAGTAAATAACTAAAACAGAAGGGCCGGGTGCGGTGGCTCAAGCCTGTAATCCCAGCACTTTGGGAGGCCGAGGCGGGTGAATCATGAGGTCAAGAGATCAAGACCATCCTGGTCAACATGCTGAAACCCCGTCTCTACTAAAAATACAAAAAATGAGCTGGGCATGGTGGCGCGTGCCTGTAATCCCAGCTACTCAGGAGGCTGAGGCGGGAGAATTGCCTGAACCCAGGAGACGGAGGTTGCGGTGAGCCGAGATCGCGCCATTGCACTCCAGCCTGGGTAACAAGAGCGAAACTCCATCTCAAAAAAAAAAAAAAAGAACTTAAAAAAAACCCAGAAAACCAAATGTCAGATGTTCCCACTCATAAGTGGGAGTTGAACAATGAGAACACATGGACACAGGGAGGGGAACATTGCACACTGGAGCCTGTCGGGGGCTTGGGGCTTGGGGAGGGATAGCATTTGGAAAAATACCTAATGTAGATGACGGGTTGATGGGTGCAGCAAACCACCATGGCACGTGTATACCTATGTAACAAACCTGCACATTCTATTATACAATCATAGAATGTATTATTAGACAGCCCTGGACATGGTTGGGTTGGTCAAATGAACTGCTATTCAAATTTAAATACAACAGTGTATGATAAATAGAGACAATTTATTTGCTTCCCAATGAGAAAGCTCTAGCCAGATAGATTCCTGGAAATTGTTCCTTGTCATAAATTTTGTAGGGACCAAAGGTAGTAGTGCCCTTGGACCCAGGTCAGAAAAACTGTGCTCTGGGCCCCCATTTTACAGGACACCAACCTGACTCTTCTTATGGGGTGACAAATCTCCAGGCCAGCACCCAAAGCCTAGGTACCCACTAAGTCCCCAAGACCCAGGACCCGGGGATTCCCTGACTGATATTACCAAAGCCACTTCTTGGCCCTGAGCTAGCCACTTCTGAGAACTGTCCTCCCAATGAAGGACCCAACAACTAATATAGGCATGCCTGGGCTCGAGCAGCAAAGTGTGGCAGTTAGAAGGTGTGAACAGAACTTGGGTTCTCGGGGTGCGATATTCACACACAGGTACAAAAATCCCCTCTTGTCCCTGAAGCTAGCTGGGCACAGGAAGTGAAGGTGGTGAGAGTATACAGGCCAAAGATTTGGATCTCTGACTCTCTCCTACCTGCCATGTTTCAGGGAGAAACTCCAAGGTGTCTGAGAATTCTACTTACAAACCTTTCAGGTTGTTACAAAGGTAATTTCTCAAGGCAGGAGCACAGAACATATTTTATTTGTTAGCAGGATACAGTCCTTGTCAAATTTTAAACATAGGGTAGGTAAGCCCTGGGCTTGCAAATGTTAGGGGGAAGCTGGAAGTCAGAGTAATCAATTCTGTTGGGGTTTCTCGGAGGGTTTGTTCATTATTGCTCGAACTGGTGAACACCTGCGGTATCTTTGCATGTGAAATTTCTTCCTTCCTTCCTTCCTTTTTTTTTTTTTTTTGAGACGAAGTCTCTCTCTGTCACCAGCTGGAGTGCAGTGGCGAGATCTTGGTCACTGCCACTTCCGCCTCCCGATTCAAGCGATTCTCCTGCCTCAGCCTCCCGAGTAGCTGGGTTTACAGGTGGCCGCCACCGCGCCCACCTAATTTTTATATGTTTAGTAGAGACGGGATTTCCCGATCTTGGCCAGGCTGGTCTCGAACTCCTGACCTGGTGATCCACCCACCTTGGCCTCCCAAAGTGCTGGGATTACAGGCGTGAGCCACCGCCGGCCCAGCATGTCAAATTTCTTTCAAAAGGCTGCCTTTATAGTGAGGTCCGGATGCATACTCTAGAGACCAGAGTTGTTGCTGAAGGCCAGAAACAGCTTCGGATTGTTGATGGTATTGAAGAGGGTACCTGTTTCCTGGCTCCAGTGTATTTGGGACAAATGAGATTACCATAGTGAGGAGAGAAGGCGATTCCTTCCCAGGTAACTTGGTTTTGGGTACTTTCCCCATAGGGTTGGTCAAGGAAATTCCCTGCTTTCCTCCCTACTCCATCCTCCGGGCCAGGTTCTTTGGGCCACATGGGCAGTTTTCAGAAGCGCACAGGACGGCTTTGTCTGGAGCGCGGTGGAGGCGAAGGGAAACGAGCAGGAGAGTGGCCACCGCGGCTGGAGTTTGGACTCAAACTTTCCTTCTTTCTCTCCACGAGTTACCGCCTTCCCGCGGGCCCCCCACAACTCCTGCCAGGAGGCTGAGGCCCGGGCGCGCAGTCGGACTCAGCTGGTCCCGGGAGCGCGCGCCTCCTCTCGGGGCCCCCGGCGGCGGCAGACGCGGGGAGAGCCGGGGAGGAGGAGGGGAAGGGGAGGGTGCGGGGGCGGGCGGGGAGGAGCCGCCGCAGGTTCTGGCCGGGGGAGGAGGCGGCGGTGGAGGAGGAGGAGGCGGTGCTCGCGCCGGGCGGTAGAGAATCGCTGGGACCCGTGTGGCCGTGACCCCCGGCTCCCTGGAGGCCCAGCGCAGCCGCAGCGGACAAAGGAGCATGTCGGCGCCGGGGAGGGCCCGTCCTCCGGCCGCCATGAGGCTCCGGGCGCCTCTGGGCCCGCGCCGCGCTCCTGCCCGCCCGGGCTCCGGGGCGGCCCGCTAGGCCAGTGCGCCGCCGCTCGTCCCGCAGGCCCCGGCCCGAAGCATGGAGCCGCCCGAACGCCTGAGGGGCCGCGCGCAGCCGCCGCTGCTGCTGCCGCTCGCGCTGTTAGCGCTGCTCGCGCTGCTGGGAGGCGGTGGCGGCGCCGCGGCGCTGCCCGCCGGCTGCAAGCACGATGGGCGGCCCCGAGGGGCTGGCAGGGCGGCGGGCGCCGCCGAGGGCAAGGTTGTGTGCAGCAGCCTGGAGCTCGCGCAGGTCCTGCCCCCAGACACTCTGCCCAACCGCACGGTCACCCTGTGAGTATCGCCCGGGCGCTCGATCCTCTCCCGCTCGGCTCTTATCTCTCCGCTCAACTTTGGAGAGGGGTCCTGCCGGCACCCACGCGCCTTTGTGTGGAGCTGTAGTCAGGGGGTGGTGCTAGGAAAGAGCTCGTGTGCTTGGCATGGGTGCAGTCCAGGGAAAGGCAACCCAATCTGCGTCCGAGCTGCTTCCCAGCTCCGCTAGTTGCAAAGTAAAGTTTTCGGGTTCTCAGGCGCGCCCCGCGCTGTCCCGAGCGCAGCGCTAGTGCTGCGCGGTGCCACGTGAGGAGGCGAGTAAACACGCTGTTGGCAGAGTTAAAGCTCATTCATCCTGGGCTGGGGTTTCCAGAAAACACAATGCTCGATTACAAGCGCCAGTCCTTCTGCTTCTTTGCAAATTAAATTACACGTATGCGGTAGAGTTTGCAGAACACAGGGACTGTGTGCGAGCCCAAACCCCAAGACGCTTCCTTTGCCTTTTGCTATCTTAGTTTTATTGCAGCTAAAGAGCACCTTTTAAGATAGAGTTGTTATTGAGGGCTGAAAACATTTCAGATCAGTCTGTGCATGTACCTTGCAGTCCCGTTTTCATGTCTGTGAGGCCTCATATTTAAAAGCCAGGAACTTTGGAACTGAAAACTGGGGGTTTGTTGAGCCTTCCAACTCGAGGGACTTTTGGTTTTCGGATTGAGTTTCCACCTGGAAGGAAAAATTTTGGTTACTCACTTGTGCTGGGATTCTCGGTTCGGTTTTGCAAACATCTTTCTGCCAATTTAGCTGAACAGTTGGCCCCAGTGACTGTCGACTTTGTTTTCGGAAGGATGAATTGGTTTGGAAACTTTTGAGTCTTAGTGTTTCTCATGGATATTTTGTTCAACTGAAATGTGAGTCCCTTGGCTCCGCGTTCCTCTGTGTTGTCTTGGTTGGTTTCCTAAAAAAAGAAAGCGGCCACTATACAAACAAGGCAAGGGCCGCAGCATGATCTATGAAAACACTTGAAGTATGGTTTTAAATGTAACCCCAATTTAGCAGGAGTATATACAGGTAGGCCAGGCATGCAGTTCATTGCTAACACCTTTGTTTCCATTTTTTGAATTAGGAAACATTTAACCATGAAAACTGTGTCTACGTGTCTATTAATGGAAGCATGAAGATGGGTGAAAGGGTTTTTGTTTTGTTTGCCTCTTTTACTAACCCGTTACCATTTGGTGGTGGCAGCAGTTATATTTATTTATCTCTTAGCCAGATTCTTTGAAGTGGAAATTTTGGGTATAGGACTTTAATTACACTCCATGTGGAGAGAATCCCAATGTTGGAGAAGATTTTCTAAAACTAGTCAATCGTGCAGTTACGTTATAAACATTTAGGTTTTGGGTCAATGAGTGGCATTTATGTTGACTCATGTTTAGGTGCAGTTTTTCTGACCTAAAAGTGTCAACAATTCCAGCTGGAATTGGTCAGCTACTTGTAAATTGTTGATTTTGCTTTGCAGAAAAAAATAGGGGAAATTGATTTTCAGCATATTATCAATTAAACTATTTCACTGCCTTTTATATGAACTGGTTAAAATATAAGTAACTATGAAATGTCATTTTTATCCAGGTTTTATTTTGGTGCCGGAAAGCTCTTTAGATGAAAATAAAATCAAGGTGGGGGATGGTAGCTCACACCTGTAATCCCAGCACTTGGTGAGGCTGATGCGGGTGGATCACTTGAGACCGGCCTGGCCAACATGGCAAAACCCCATAAAATACAAAAATCAGCCAGGTGTGGTGGCGTGTGCCTGCCATTCCAATTACTTGGGAGGGTGAGGCGGAGAATTGCTTGAATCCCAGAGATGGAGATTGCAGTGAGGTAAGACTGTGCCACTGCACTCCAGCCTGAGCTACAGAGTGGGACTCAGATTAAAAATAAATAAATAAATAAAATTTATTCGGTGAATAGAAAGAAGATACAATTAAGGATCAATTTAAGTTGTTCTGCTGTGGTGGCTCACGCCTGTAATTCCAACACTTTGGGAGGCTGAGGCCAGTAGATCAGCTGAGGTCAGGAGTTTGAGACCAGGCTGGCCAACATGGTGAAACCCTGTCTTTACTAAAAATACAAAAAATTAGCCAGGCGCAGTGGTGGGGGCCTGTAATCCCAGCTACTCGGGAGGCTAAGGCAGGAGAATTGCTTGAACCCAGGAGGCAGAGTTTGCAGTGATCTGAGATGGTGCCATTTCACTCCAGCCTGGATAACAAATGCAAAACTCTGTCTCAAAAAGAAAGAAGGAAAAAAGAAGAAAGCTGTTCTGGCTGAAGAGGGTTCAATGTATATGAGACTCCCCCCATATAGAGTCTTATAGGCCAGTTTCCTCATTTTACTAAAGCAAGAGTTAGAGTTACTGTAAATAAGGGACTCCCCAGAATTCTCATAGTGGAGTAGCATCTGAGTCCAAGTCCCAGACTCCCGCCAGACTCCCGTCCTGCAGTTCAGATGCTGCTTTCTCATTAACCCGTCTTGCCTTCATCTTAGTTGAACACAGTTTTTGTTGATGGCCCCTAGGTAGTAGGTAGCCTGTTGAAGTTTGGACTGGGTGTTAGTGCCTAGGGCTGCTGCAGATTACTACAGACTTGATGGCTTGAAACAACAAATTTAATCTCATAGTTCTGGAGGCCACAAGTCCAAAATCAGTGTATGAGCAGCGCCATTCTCTCTCTGAGGACGTTGGGAAGAATTCATGCTTGCTTCTCTCAACTTTGGGTTTTCCTTGGGTTAGGGCAGCATCACACTGAAGCAGGAAAGGCTGTGAAACAAACCTCTGGAACACCAGACTGGGAAGGAAGTCGTGATTTATTTGGCCGGGACTTGCAGCGGGTCTGGTTGCCCCAAATAGGAGAGCTCCCCTAACAAAGAAAATCCCTGCTCTTATAAAGGCTTACAACTCTAGAAATTATGTGTGATAGGGTCTTGGTCCACGGAGAAGGGGTGGGGTATGTGACTTAGGTGGGGGTTTGATCGTGTTTAAGTAAAAACAATGCCTTCCGGAAAGATTCCTCCATGCCATGCCTTTGGGCGATTAAAGGTGGCCCCCAGTCAGCCAGCCTTTACTTTATTGAAATGCAGTGTGGAAGTTAAGGGGGAGGTGGTCTTAGATGCCTAGCGTGATTAAGGGTTTCCTTCCTCAACTTCAGTCTCTGCATCTCTCTTCCCTTGGCCTTCTCCCTATGTGTCTGTGTGTCTCAAATCCTCTTTTTTCTCTTTTAAGGATACCAGTTATTGAATTTAGGGTCCACTCCTAGGTCCAGGATGATTCATCTCAAGATTCTTTACTTAAATACATCTGCAAAGACCCTGTTTCCAAATAAGATTACGTTAAAAAGTCAGGACTTGGGTATTTTTTTCTATGAGACACTGTGCAGCTCATGACAAAATACAAATAAGAACATGGTCTTTCTTCTCCAGGAACTTACAGATATTTGGGGAGAAAGATTCATGACTAAGTCCCAGAACAGTATAGTCAATGCGCTATTACCAGGGTGCACATGTAGCAAGAGAAACCCAGAGGAGGGTAAGCAAGGCTGCCTTCTCCCTCAATCCTAGTGGAATTGAGGATCCTGAGCCAATTCTGGAAAGAAGAAAAAGGTAAGTGTGGGCCTGGCACAGTGGTTCACACCTATTATCCCAGCACTTTGGGAGGCTCTGGCGGGCAGATCACTTGAGGCCAGGAATTCGAGGTCAGCTTGACCAACATGACGAAAACCCATCTCAACCAAAAATACAAATATTAGCTGGGCGTGATGGCTTGCACCTGTAATCCCAACTACTAGGGAGGCTGAGGCTGGAGAATCGCTTGAACCCTGGAGGCGGAGGTCGCAGTGAGCACTGGTCATGCGCTCTACTCCAGCCTGAGTGACAGAGTGAGACTCTGTCTAAAAAAAAAAAGTGACCGTGAAGAAAATGGTGAGGGGACAAGGGGAGGAAATGATGGGGTTGGAAGTGGAGGACCCCAGGTGCCCATGGGTATGGAGAGGACAGTATCTGGTTATGCTGCTGTGCAGTTGGTGTTGCTGGAATGCCAAAGGCAAGTGTCTAGTGCCCAAGGTGGTCAGAGAGGAGTCTGTAGGGGCTGAGTCGAGGACAGGAAGGCTCCCTGGTTTGAACCTTTATCACTTAGGTGTGGCCAGGCATTTCTAGCTGAGTTGTGATGTGGCCACAGAGAGGAAAATTAATGGATGGGAATTGGGAGAATGCCAAAGATGAGACAGAATTTATTTTTAATCATGAAAAGTAAAGCTATTTCTATTTACTGGATGAACTGGTCTTCATCGTAGCCTATAAATCAGACCCTTCAACAGTATTAATGAACAACATTTGTTTCTGTAGCTATGCTTTAAGAGAGGTCTGGCAGATACCCTCGGCTTAACTGTGTATTCCCCATGTCTCAGGTAGACTTTTGTACTGAGGGATTAAACTGCCTCTATTATTTTTTTTTATTTTATTTTACTTTATTTTTTTGACATGGAGTCTTACTCTGCTGCCAGGCTGGAGGGCAGTGGCATGATCTCTGCTCACTGCAACCTCTGACTCCCTGGTTCAAGCGTTTCTCCTGCCTCAGCCTTCTGAGTAGCTAGGATTACAGGCATGTGCCACCATGCCCAGCCAATTTTTGTATTTTTAGTAGAGACGGGGTTTCACCATGTTGGCCCGGATAGTCTTGATCTCCTGTCCTCGTGATCCGCCTGCCTCAGCCTCAGCTGGGATTATAGGTGTGAGCCACTGCACCTGGCCTATTTTTTTTTTTTTTTTTTTTGAGACAGAGCCTTGCTCTTTCAAACCCAGGATGGAGTGCAGTGGCATGATGTTGGCTCACTGGAACCTCTGCCTTCCAGGTTCAAGCAGTTCTCCTGCCTCAGCCTCCTGAGTAGCTGGGACTACAGGCACCCGCCCCCACGCCTGGCTAATTTTTCTGTTTTTGTTAGAGACGGAGTCTCACCATATTGGCCAGGCTGGTC